ACTTTAACAGTCTCAAACTTCGCCGCCCTTGCTTTGAAGAAGGATCATCAGCTATGAGCCGGGGCGTCGGTATCGGCTGATCACACAACAGACCGCTGCATTGCGTTGTGAATAAATACGTCAGCTTAGTGCTATCACTTCCAAATCATACGTTGTCATCGAAGTGTGAGCATCTAACCCTGAGCTTGGAAAATACCGTTGTGTACCTGTACCATAGACTTGACGTCGCTTCGCCGTTGCAACACACTGAAGTAGGTTAGTTTTTATTCATCTATGGCAAGCATGAAGCGGAGGCAGGGGAAAGCGCGCGCTGCGACGTGACTCGGTATTTCCAACGATTCCAACGTGCTGAAGCGAATACGCAATGAAACAAGTTTCGAAAGTTAAATTATGGAATACGCAATTATCTCTTTCAGTGATGATCAACGATTTTGACATCTTACCATTTAGCGCCGCTGTTCGACTGACATTTAGCACACGGTCCGGTTCTTTCACGTTTCTCGTCAATTTTCAACGTAGTCAACGACTTTTAGACTTCAGGTACAAAACATCGCCTGACAAAAATATTCACAAACTTAAATGTCACTTTATATAACGACGGGCCATAAATATCTTAAACGGTTACTACCCGGAAGTGAATTTGACAATTGCCTAAAAGCGGACCAATTGTGTCATATTTCGACGCGTATTTCACAGATGTCCTTCAGAGAAGGAAAATGGCATAGCCGGTGTACATCATTAATCCATGAACGATAAGGTAGTCAGACAAGCTTAAAAGACTGAACCAAAGCTTGTCAGACAAAAATTCGACACAAAGTGACTGGAACAAAGAGCCGCCCTGTCGCAGCGCGCGAAAATCTGGCTCTACCAATCTAACATTTTGCTGATCCTGTCGTATAAAACAGCAATGATCTGAAAACCGCAAAAAATGAATGTTGGTTAGGTTCAGGAGGCCTTCCGCATGGTGAATCATTGGCAGGTACTCATCAGCTCGAGTTAATCCAAAACTCCAATATTACGCAGCTCAGCGACTGCTCTTCATCACATTGTCGTCCTGTTCGATCAAGTGACGAGGATACGAACAGAGTTTTTACCAAAACAATGCTCTCCTAACAGACGTAAACATTCGCAATAGGGTAAAACAACAGTAATCTCTCTGGTGACGGCAAGAGGTGGAGTACAAGATACGAGAAAGAGACAGTTCGTCATTACTGGTTCAGCAGTGATAGAACAGCCTAATAATCGACCAATTCAAAGACTACGTGACTGATGATTATGAAAGGCCAATCAGAATAATAACTGACAGCAAAGTCCAGTCAGTTTCAGCGCTTTATTATGGTCCATAATGTCAGATAAGTGCTGATTACTCAGTTTTAAATTGTGATTTAAGCCAACGTAAGACACAGTGAAAATGGTCTATCCGTACCGAATCCGTACGAAAAGCATGTCAAGCAGGCCGATGACACGCACACTTCGCTATGTTGTCGGCGCTCATCCCTATGGAACGTGCTTTAATGACGGGCCGTTCAACCGAACGGGTACTTCGCATAAACATTATCGGTAGAGTTGAGTTACGGCCCAAGAAAAGAGGCAATAAGTCCGAAATTCGCTGCAAGTTTTTCGCATAACTCAGTGATTACACGCAAAAGAATTACACCTCAATTTCCATGGCATTTCCTATCGTAGGTGCGGTTGGCGCAGTAGTAGAAAATCAGCCATTTCTAAATGACTGCAGATGATCTCAACTCACCGGCAGTAACGGCGGTGCTTAAAATACAAATCGTACGCAAAAAGCACATGGTCTGGATTTCAAGATGTCATTTACGTTTTAGTTGTTGTCGATACGGCGCACATAATGTTGCGCGGATTTCCTTCAGGCAACATATTGAGCTGTGTCACTGAGTCATGAACGACGAATGAATTCATCGGCCTGAAGTCGGCGTACTGTTACGAAGGTTTTACTGCCAAAGCTTAGGAAACCTTAGTCGTTGGATGTGACGAAACTCTGCTCCCTTTGAGCACAAAAGACAAGCAATGGTCAAATGCTATACGACGCAATGCCTCAACTCCTCTCTCTCTGAGGGTAAGCCAAAATGAGAACGGTTGCGCCCGGTCTGCCGGTCCGCCTCCAGGTAGTCAGAACATTCTTTTTAAAAGATCTACATAAAATATATGGGAAGATCTGTCACCTCGTCCATTAAAACTAAATATCCTTTCAGAGGTCATGTCGTGTTTTCACAGAATCACGGTAGCTCTAGAGAGTGCATGCTGGCGTATTTCACCCAGGTTTGTTACAGAGAAATTTCAATTTGGTCAACGCTGATCGCCCACAAGATAACATAAGTCACTAGTCTCCCACTGGCCTCACAGGGGTAATGCAGTCAGCTTCAGAGTCAATTGCAGAAGCCGAACCCAGAACTGTTCTACATAGTTCAAAGATTCATTCAGCAGTGCTAGGTTATTATGGGGAAGCGCTGCAATGATGCCCGTGGCTGACAATACTCCATAAAATACACAAAAACTATAACGAAGTTATTTTAATGAACGAACCCTCCAAAATTTAACAAAGAAATTAATAAATGTGCACTGTTTGTTCAGAATGGCCAGTGAGTGTAAAAAAATAAATTTCATAAATCGAAT